TTTAATTTATATCAAAAGCAGAACTGGTTGAATCACCCCATCCGTTATACAACGTCAAGATAACGTATTTAGAAAAACGTTTTTGCTGCTCCGAATAAAATTTCATTTTGTTGGAATAATATTTTAATTGAAAATGTCCATACAAATGCTCTAGAATATCCTACAGAATCTTGAAATAATTTCAAATTTCTGGATATTTGAAAGATTTTGATGCAAGGTCGTCATCTATCAGTGGAGGGGACCAAGTTAGTGTTCCATGCTATTTAATTTTCTATGATTAATGTGTGACGCATCTGATAAATGTCCAAGCATTGTTCACAAAGTAACATTTTATTGGAGAGATAGGTGTGAAATCTGGCATTCTTCCATTTATATGAGCTATTTCATGAATTAGTAATGCATTTGGAAGTAGAGGACTGGTTCAAGAGTTTATCTTGATTGGTACCAGAATGGGGATAGTTAAGTTTCCGTTTTGTGATATGGGTCTGTATAATTGAAAAGGAAAAGCGAACTTGACTGTGTGAAAGTCGACACTGTAATTGCGATGAAATTTGGAGAGTTCGGCTGATGCACAGTACTTTGCGATAGTGCGCAGTATTTTCATAATGGGTTGAACTGATAACTGACTTGCCATAATTTAATATTTAGGCGGGTGAAAAGATTTGAATTTGGGAAGTCAAATTTGAATGATGCAAGAGTGTGTCGATCAAGATCTGTGTATGTACGCACAGCCTCTCTAGGAGGTTTTGTTGGTTAGGACGATTAGGTTTTGGATAAATAGCGAGTTTGCTTGAATTAGTCAGTCTTATTTTAGCGATACAGGAGTAGTAGTTCAGTTCTAATTTAATAGATTGTTTTATTCCCTAATGTTTGTTTTGTCATGTAATATAGAACCATCAATTTTTATTGTCAATAGTTAGTTGATTATTTCAATATATTTGCAGCTATATTAGTTTGTATTTATCAGGTAGAAATGGTGAAAAGTCAGGAAAAGCGAGCTTCAAATTGCTTCGTAATCAAACGAGGTATGTTTAATTTTTAGTTTATACCAAGATGTTTCTTGTGTTTTATTTTTGAAGAAAATACTTGTGGGAATATGTTTTAGATGGAAGGCATGAAGATGTTTCTTTTGATAAGATTTCACGTCGTATCAAGAAGCTGTGCTATGGATTGAGTCCAGAACGAGTGGACCATGTAAAGAATTTTACTTTGTGTATTGCTCTTCTTTCAAATATATAGGACATGTGCTTTGTAGATTGAAATATCACAAAAAGTAATCGCTGGGTTGTACAAAGGTGTAACAACTGTTGAGTTGGATAATTTGGCTGCGGAGATTGCTGCTGATTTGATAACAAAGCATCCTGATTATGGTTTCTTGGCTTCACGAATTACTGTATCTAATATGCACAAAAAAATTGAGAAAGTTGGTAATTCATGTATGATTTCAAGTGTGGAAAATAATTTTTCAAGTATTGAAAATAATTTGCTTTTACTTAATATTTTTATTAAATTCTGAATATAAGTGTATCATGTACATAAAAAGTTTTAAACTACTTAGTGTGTAGTTTTGAAGTCTTTTATGATTTCTGGAAAATGGTTACATTTTCGGATTGTTAGACTAGTCGAGATCATGTTATTGAGAAGAGATTACATTTTCGGATTGTTAGACTAGCCGAGATCATGTTATTGAAAAGATGAAGCTTTGCAAAATTTGCGTAGTTTCTTGCATTATTTATTTCAGTCCTTTTCAAAAGTTGCTGCAACATTGTATTTTACTAAACATCCAAAGAGTAACCGTCATATGCCTCTAATTAGTAAGGAACTGTTCGAAATTGTTCAGAACAATTCAAATGTGAGTTAATTTTCGTACAATAAATTCAGTGTTTTGAAATTAAAAATATAACGACTTTCGTCATTTTTATTATTGTATAGCTGGTGAACAAGTTTAAAAATACATGGTGAAATCATCTTCTTTAATTTATAAATTAAGATTTTGTAGGTGCTGGACTCAGCCATAGTTCATGATCGGGATTATTGCTACACCTATTTTGGTTTGAAAACTCTTGAACGTTCATATCTGTTAAAAATCAATGGCGCAGTGGCTGAACGTCCTCAACATATGTTAATGAGAGTCGCCCTTGGTATACATGGTGAAGATATTGAAACTGCAATCGAGATATGTTTTGAGCACTTTAAGAAGTTTTTTTTCTGAATGATAATTTTTGGAAAGTTTATAATTTTTTAGTTTCATATTCTTAAGGAACTCTGCAATGACTTTGTTGAAATTATACTAATTTCTAATTTCAGACTTACCAGTTGATGTCCGAAAGATGGTTTACACATGCAACACCAACTCTTTTTAATAGTGGTACGTGCAAACCACAAATGAGTTCGTGTTTCTTGTTGACAATGTTTGACGACAGTATTGAAGGCATATTTGAAACATTGAAAAAATGTGCATTGATTTCAAAGAATGCTGGTGGTATCGGTTTAAACATTCACTGTATACGTGCTACTGGTTCAGCAATTGCTGGAGTTTGTTATATTCAAATTGAAAATTTTATTGTGTAGAAATCAAATATTTTTTGAAAATTTTATTTTTTCATATAAATTCGGAGACGACAAATTTTCATAAAAATTGTTTGATTTATGTTAAACTATGTCCTTTTCGATAGTTATAACATTTACTTATTTTTAAATCGTTTGAATTTCAGACAAATGGCGTTTCTAATGGGTTGGTACCAATGCTTCGAGTATTTAATAGTGCAGCACGATATGTCGATCAAGGTGGCAATAAGGTGACTTCGTAAAATTTCTTTTTTTTTCAGTTTCTTAGTCTACCTTCTATTCAGATAAATTTTTTTCATAATAACTATCTCTTTGTTTTTTCACGGAAAATGTACTTTTTTGAAAAAATTCTCGCACATGGCACAAGTAATGGAAATCTCTTACAGAGACCAGGTGCATTTGCAATTTACTTAGAGCCTTGGCATTCAGACATTTTTGAATTTCTGGGCTTACGAAAAAATGTGGGGGATGAGCTTGAACGGTGTAGAGATTTATTTCTTGGCTTATGGGTTCCCGATCTTTTTATGGAGCGTGTTCGCGATGACAAAACTTGGTCACTGATGTGTCCTGCTGAAAGTCCTGGTCTGCACGAAGTTTGGGGTGAAGAATTCGAAAGACTTTATATGAAGTTAGAAAAGTTTCATTTGATTTTATCATTTGTATAACATAAAGTTTCTATATTTTATTTTTTTTCGCAAACAGTAAAACTGTGCATTTGTTGGAAAATCATTTACAGCATTTTTATAGATATGAAGAAGAAGGTAGATATAGGGAACAGATTCCCGCTAGAAAATTATGGGAAGCAATTGTTTGCTCGCAAATAGAAACTGGTGTACCATATATGGTTTATAAGGTGAAAATGTAGAATTGTTGAATGTTGAATTATAACTGATTTTTCGTTCGATAAAAGTTAATTGACTGTAGTTTAAGAAGTTTTGTTAATTATATTAAGGAACGCTTCTTATCAAGTTTCTAAAAAAATTATGAAATTACTTCGAAAAGCAAAAAATTTTGAAGTTGTAGGACACTTGTAATCGGAAAAGCAACCAGAAGAACTTGGGCACTATAAAATGTTCTAATTTGTGTACTGAAATCGTTGAATATTCATCTCCGAAAGAAATCGCAGTTTGTAATTTAGCGTCGATTGCTCTCAGTCGTTTTGTTACAGAGGAAAGAACATTTGACTTCGAAGCATTGCGCCAGGTATGAAACGGAAAAAGAAAAGAAAGCTGAAATTAATTTAATTTGATCAGTAAGTATAATTCCATTCAGTATTGTATAGATTTCTACTATATGATAGTAAAGAAATTATTTCAGATTACAAAAGTAGTAACGAAAAACTTGAATAAAATAATAGATCGCAATCATTATCCGGTCCCAGAAACAGAATTTTCCAATAAAAGACATCGTCCTATTGGCATTGGTGTACAAGGTTTAGCTGATGCTTTCATTCTTATGAGGTCTCTTTTTATATCATTTGAAACTGCATGATTTTATAAAACAATTAATGCGGTTATTTTTGATAGTTTAAATAATTTTTGTATATTTCAAGGTATCCATTTATTAGTGAAAAAGCACGCGATTTAAATAAGCGTATATTTGAGACGATTTATTATGCGGCACTCGAAGCTTCCTGTGAACTTGCGGAGCTGTATGGTCCATACGAAACTTACCATGGTTCGCCTGTTAGCAAAGGAGTTAGTATTATATTTTGAAGTTAGCAGAGACCATTAAATAACTGGTAGTTTTCAGTTTTTTTTTTGTTTGAAGGTATTTTTCAGTGATTTTTCAGTTTCATGTAGATGCAGGTTGTTCATTTGCATATTTTTTTCAAAAGCTATTAGTTGCAACATTACAGATTCTACAGTTTGACATGTGGGACGTGACGCCATCTGACCAGTGGGACTGGAAAACTTTACGGGAAAAAATAGCAAAGAATGGTATAAGAAACAGTTTGCTTATAGCTCCGATGCCTACAGCTTCGACAGCTCAAATTCTGGGAAATAACGAAAGCATTGAGCCTTACACTACTAATGTGTATACTCGCAACGTTTTGTCAGGAAATTTTCAGGTTAACTGATTTTGACCAGTAGCGATCTAATGACGAAAGCATTTCTTAAATTCAGACATATTTTTAATGAAGTTTTTATCAACTCATAATGTGACCTTTAGATTTTTAATCAGCACTTGGTAAAAGACCTTATCAATCTTAACTTGTGGGATGAAGGCATGAGAATGGAAATAATAAAAAACAAAGGATCGATTCAAGACATTACTCGAATTCCTGAAGAAGTCCGAAATCTTTACAAAACTGTTTGGGAAATGTCGCAGAAAGTAGGATTTAATAGTGTCGGGGGGTTTATTTTTCATCAAAATATGTGACGCTTTTAGTTAATCATAATCACTTCATGTGATTAGGGTAAATTAAACAGCAAAAACTTGTATAATTTCCGGATATCATTGATATGGCTGTTGATCGCGGTGCTTTTATCGATCAATCACAATCACTGAACATATTCATTGCTCAACCGAATTACAGTAAAATTAGTAGTATGCATTTCTACGGATGGAAAAAGGTACTAATAATCCAATAATTTCTCTATTTGTTATTTAGAACAGATGTTGAAAGTATTATTTTAATACCTTGAAATAAATTGTTATAGGGTCTAAAAACTGGTATGTATTATCTCCGTACGAGGCCAGCAGTTGATGCAGTGCAGTTTACTGTTGACAAAACTCGTCTCAAAAAATACTTCGAGAAAGACTTGAGTACTACTTCGGAAACAACTTCAGATCCCACAGCTGCTACGAATCCCGAACTCTGCTCCAAAATGGAGTGTGAGTTAGATAATGAAACCGAATGTCTCATGTGTAGTAGTTAAAGATTTCTGATCGTTTCAAAAATTTGTAACACTCAATATGTCATTTTGTACTTGTTATTTGAAATGGGATTTCGGCCCCTACAATAATTGGTGAACATATTTAGTTAAACAGTTTATCTGACACATTTTATTTACTTATGTCTAAAAATGAGCATTTGTTTTAGTTATTTACATGTAAATTGGATCAAATTCTTGCATCAAGTGCTATTTTGATTTTTCGTATTTATTTTTAGTGCCCTCTCAAACGATTTTGTAGAAGCTTAAGATATGTTTTCCATTTTTTAATTTCCAATTAAGTTAACACTTCAGGTTCTCATTTTAATTTTATTTGCTTATTCCTTACTGTCTATTTACATACTTTTTTAATGATCTGAAAAAGAAAATGGATGTTGAGCTTTCCATATCATTGTATTGTTGGTCTTTTATGCAGTACGATAAAGCGTTGACTCTTATGATAACCTGAACATCCAAACAAAGTAATACAGAAATATGCATTGACTAAATCGAAGCAGCGGTCTGTGTGGAATTCACAATTGAGGGAAGAACGAAAGAAGCACGAAAGCGAAGAGTATATTTTGTATGCCTTAGATATCTAAGACGGATGTTTAGGGCGGTGATTCACGGTTCGTACCTATATAAAATAATGAGCTATAACCGAATGAGGTTGATTAGTGTGTGAAATTGTAATCCGTATGGTCAGTTCTTGAACAAATTATGTGAATTATGGGCATTCCTCTTATTCAGGTTAGTTATTTATTTAGTGGAATAAAAAAATGCTTCTAGAAATATTACATGCAAGAATAACCTGACTATATCTTTCAGCTTGTTGTCGCATTTGGGCGACAAATGTCTCGTCCATTAGCACGTAAAATTATAGCTTATGCGATTAAACATCCATATTTAAGGAACAGAATACTTATCCCAGTGGGTAGAAGTAAGCTTTCTGTCATACGTTTCAAGAAACTAACTGTTACTTGCACTTCGTTTGTTTCTGTCCTTTTACTTTGTAAAATTGAATGTATTATTCAATTTCAGGCTTACATGCCATATCTTTTCGTCTACGAATTAAAAGTATAGGCCTTGCAATACCATCACAAACACCAACCGTATCAGAGCAACAAGCTGTTGAAATGGTTAATTCTTACTTACATTTTATCCCTACTATGTTCATCAATAATGAATAAGGAATTCAACATTCATAATTTAGGCTAGCGAGACGCTTGTTGAGACACTTATTTATTTAACTACTGTCTCGTTGATATATGCAATATACAGATCGAATCCAGAAAAAGCAAAAGCAAGCGATGTTGAAAGATACGTCAAAGTAATGCGCTTTTTAATTGCTCCGAGTAATAACCCAATCTTCTGGCATCATAATGAATATGGTTTTTTTTTAAGGAAAATGAGGAAAGGATACATAAATTTGAAGAGAAAATGAAGGAACAAGATGAAATTGTGATGAAGATAGTCAAAATTATTCGTGAAAGCAAACTGGTAAACTTTTTAATTATCTTCATTTTTAAAAGTTTCGCACTATTTTCAATGCATATTTGTTCATTTTTTCTTTTATTCTATACTCTGCATTACTTTAGATTTGTCGTTAATGGTTAAAAACGATATAATCTCATATTTAATAGAAATAACTCTTCCTTCTTTTTCACAGGATGACAAGAACCTCTTAGCGGATAAACAGAAAAGTCAGCTTCTGTCCTTCATTAGTGACAAAATGAAAACACTGATTCCTGGACAAGATTGAGGATGTATTCATATCTGCTAGTTATCAAATATATGTTGCGAAACGGGTACAAATAACTTTTAATTTTAAAACTTTCAATTTTCACTTTTAAAAATTCGCTCTATTCGAAAAGCTTTTGAAAAATGTAATGTATATAATTATGATTTTGTCAGATTTAAATTCCTTTTATTGTGCATGCTGTGTTTGAAATTTGATCATTGGTGATTGCTTTCCGATATTAATTTCAAAAATGATTCTAAGTAATAATTTTATCGTTAATGCTTGCAGATACCAATGTTGATAGCTATTAAAAGTGCTAGTTATTCAAGTTTCATAATAAAATATTTTGGAAGAATGTGTTCGAGTTACTGTGTAAATGTATGGAAGTTCACGAAATTTATAACCATCAAGTATTAACAGTAATATAAAAGTAACAGGTAATTATTTAGAAACTGAGAGTAGTTCATTCAACTTTTTTTTAAAGAGAAACTTTATCGTTTTGCATTTTGATTCCATAACTTTACAAGCTTCAGCAACCAATTCAGCACTTTTGAGTGCCCCGGTACTTTCAACGCTAACTAGAAAATAGGATCTTTCACCATAATTAAAATTTGTTAGATTATTACTATAAATATGCTAGAATTTTAATAAAATGAACAGCAGCAGAAATTGGTAAGGACTTACAAATGAAATGGTTTTTAATTTTCGATAGTTCAATGTGCTCTGCAAGATCTTCATGTCGTAAAATGTTTCGGCTGCAAGTATCGTACCTTGCATCTTTTACATATGCAATTCCATCTGAAATCAAAAAGTAACTTGAGTACATTCTGTTTGCAATAGAGTAGAGTTGAAATCACGTGCCTAAAGTTTTTTAATCGACATTTTACAAAACATATTTTAATAAATCAGGCATTCTAAAATATATAGCTAATGTCTGAAATAAGGAGAAAGTGGAGATTTAAAAAATGAGACTGATTCACCCTTATTGATTCCAATGACTCCATCCGAAAATGAATCCTTGATTTTTTGAGCATCTTCACCCGTGAAATCTTTCGTCAGTGATATCTGTGGTAGCAAACGATATGAAGCGGTTGCAACTGGAGAGAATTTTGCATGATCTCGTCCTATTCCTTTTACACAGTGACATCTAGAAACTCAACTTCAATACTACGAAAAGTGCTTGGAAAAGTACAATCTATCATCTACGGTTTCGAACCTCGCTTCTATTTCTTGTCCTGGTCGTAACTGCGTAATCAGAATATCATCGTGAACCATAGCTGGTGGATGCGACCATAAAGATGCCTGATTACCAATTGGTATCCATTTGAATGCATCTGAATAGACAAACGCATTCTTGTAAATTTCTTTCGGATTTGTAGCAGTCTTTGAAGCATTGCGATTTCGAGTGCAAGACACTTTGATTTGGAAAATAAGGTTTCTAAAATGATTATTTCATCAGAGTCAACTAAAAAATCCAAAAAATAGGCGTAATAAATTCACAACACTAATCCAATTATTTTTAAAATAGTTACGTTTTCAATCAAAAATTAAGGTCAGTTTTATGCTATGACAACATCGATTTGTATCACTTGATAAACTACATCGCTCATTTAAAACAGTAAGCTTACTGAATAACAGGAAATAAATTCAAACTTAACATTGAGATATTGGCTTTTAAACCCTTTGAAACATCAAACTATAAAAAAATCATTCGTCACCTTTCTTGATCACCAGTTGGTTCCTCATCACAATCAACTCCAAATTCGTTAATTCCGATAACTCGTGTGAGAGGCATTTTAAAATGCCGAGGGTCTGCTTTGATTGGAAGCAGCCCTAGACGATGGCACAGAACCTCATCCTAAAATTTTTAGTTGGAACTTTAATTTAATTTTTTCAAGAAACTACAGCAATGAGTAGATGAAAATAATAAGTGTGTATGATACCGGTAGAACTGACGTATTCTGGTAAAGATACACTTTCTCGATAGCCATTGTTGGAATCTGAAATCAATATATGACATCTCATTCTATATTGAACAGAAGAAATTCTTGCATATTAGAAAGTTAGAAGACAATACCAAAACGCATATTTTTATGGAACAAAAAAAAAGAATATATTTTGCAAGCAATAAAATTTACTTCTGCAATAAGTATTCTTCTAATAGCATTTGCTATCGGCGCTTCCACTCCAACTAAATCAAATTCCAGTGACATACCATCCACACTCTCATTTATGATCATTAATTTGATGTTTGAAAGATAAGTCTGAATGTCCCATGTGCTGTCGATATAATCGCCAATATCACTATTAGCATCATACGTCTACAAAATTTTTATCTTACCATTTTCCATGACTGATAAGATATGAATGTTGTGACAACTTTTCTAATTTAAGCGCAATGTACAACTGAAAATACAAAGCTCCTCTCAAATGGTTCCAACGAAGCATACATAAAGAAGACTAAAATGCTAAATATAGGTGAGAACAGACAATAAAATATGTTTTATATAGGCCATCATTTAAAGTACTTATTTACTTACTGAAAAATGCACCAAAGCCACCTTATACGGAAACAATAGAATTTGTATTATTTAAACATTTCTGTAAACCTCACAGCATCCCTGTGAAGAAAAGTAGAAAGCACCTGTAAAAACAACCATATGTTCAAACTCACGTTAAGTACCCTTTCTGACTCAATTAAGAGTTTATTCCTCGCATCCTGGTCCACTTTACGTCGAGATCCTCTTGGACTTTTAAGCATTGACCCTGCCAAATTTTTTAGACACCCTCAAATTAATCTCTGAAACGACTAAAACTTCATTTCAATCATCCTGAATGCTGACATTAACAAACAGCAAAATCAGGTTCATAATTCTTCAAAAAAGGATAGATGAATTAAATAATTTTTTTATTCTAGGAATCGAAAGCCTAACTACGACTTTTCGAATCAGTGCGCAATAAAAAAATTATAGCAAATAGCACAATTTTAATCCCAGTTGACATGTACAATTTAAGCACAATGATGCAACATAGAAAGAAATAACAATAAAATGCCCGTACTATGACAGGCTAAAATCAGTTGTACTTTGGAATGTATTGAAGTAGAAAAAAACAATACCATTGGACATATAAAATTAATATTACCCAATTATCACAGCACTGAGATAGAGCATATCTGTTTCATCTAAAGGATATATCAAACCACGAAAAATGGATAAAAATTATGGTAAAATGTGCTACTTCCTGAAACAAATCAATCGTCATGAAGAATGTAACTGAGAGACTCTAAAGATAGTTGATTACTGAGAGGAACACTCAAAAGAGAGCATTAATCTAAAGGTTCTTTTTCCATATTTCGTACAAATTTTTCTTGAATTGATGAAATAAGAGATATATGTAACAATAATATGAGCAGAAAGAACAATAAGTATATTTATATAGATTATTCTCTTTTTATAATGCATTAAAGAACGTTTAGAATTTTTAAAATTTGAATTCACTTCAATAATACTATTTACTTCATGCAGATCAAGATGGAAACAACAAGTAACGATATTTCTAAAAAGCACTACATTCATTTATGCCTAAATCAAACAATTTAAAAAATAGGAATATAGTCAACATAGAGAATGAACAGTAATGAGCAGAAGATCGATCCAACCACAACTCATGCTTTGAAAATTTAAATTTGCATAAAATTAAAAAAAAGGTAACAAACAACAAAAATAATTAAATCATTTGTACACTTACTATTTATAATATAAAAACACGATTATTCACGACATAACACGGAACTTTCTTTGTTTGGTACGAAAACAAGAGATTTTCAAGCAGGATAAGTTACGGATTCAAAATTGAATCATAGTTCCAAATACCAATTTTATATCGAAACCAAATAAGTATTAAATCTCGACCCATCTCAACCCATGATAGTATAGGTACTATTTTAGATCCATCAACTTCATGCCACCTTACTGGAATTTCACGAACTGGAATGTCGAAATATTCCGCAAGGAACAAAAGCTCCACATCAAAAGCCCAGCGTTCGATGTGCAGTAGTGGAAACAGCTGCAATAATAAAAAGATTTTATTGTTGTATAGAAAAAATGAGCAAATAGAAAATGTTATGAACTTTAAAAATATTGATGCTAATATAGCTTAAAACTTTCTTAATTTCAAAATATATTTCTCATTATTTCGAATTTGCAAAGCATACATCAACTTCAAATCCTTAAAGACTATGGGTAAACCTTTGCAACAGCTCCCCGCGTGAATAATTTGTATCCACACTGAGTGTCATGAATTGTCCTCACTGTGAAAATATATACGATAATATGAAAACCTATCATCAAAAGAGTTCGAACTAAAGAACGTTTAGCAATACTTTCTTTCTCCATATGTGCTCTATAAAAATGCACTGAATTATGTTACAGTCAAAGTTTAGAAAGTTAAAACAGCATAAGAACACTTTTGACTTTCAAGCATCTAAAGAAAAAAAAAGATCAGATTTGAAATATTTTCACAAAATATCAATAAATATCTTATTTAATTCCTGAAATATTCTCATTGAAAGATGCAAAGCAGAGAAACCTTCTTTGCCAAACTATTTCAGTACTGCTTACATATCTTTCTAAAACACATACTTTATAGTAAGTGAAAAACAAATAACCATTATTATTAATCGCTTCTATTCTGCAAAATAATATTAGCCGACTTTTATACCAATTATTTTATGAAAATAAATACCTTGAACCAACAGCTATTGCTGGAAATTCCCAATTGAAGTTTTTTCTGTCTGAGATGTCACCATCAAAAGCTGTTATAATTAATAACTCATTTTCCAAAAGTTGAAAATCTGCAAAGTTCGTGGCCCCATCTGCATCTGCGAACAGTATTAACGAACCACGAGCACATAGCACACCCATACGAACCGCTCCACCTAAAAGAAAAAACTTTTAAATCGAATTTCAAAATGCTTGAAGGAACTGAATTTACAAAAATATGCATCAAGTTTTAATACACGAATAACCTTTTCCTAAATTTTTTTCAAGCTTTAATACTTTAATTTTTTCACCATACTGTTGTCCATATTTACAACCTATATTAGCAGTACCATCCGTACTCCCATCATCCACTATAATGACCTACAAAATAATCATAATAATAATTATCCAGTTCACTCTGCATTTGAAAGAAAAAAATCTGAATAAAAAATTTAATGGGAGAGCTTTGAAAATCTACAACTATATTAGCAAATTTACGAACATGCTATTAATATTAATAAGATAAAAATTTGTAAATACTTTAACACCATTTTTTAAAACTATAACCTAAGTATTTTTTTTTCAAATAAATCGTATCGTAAAATAAAAAATTTACTTCATAAGTAAAGAAATTATTTTTGGCTTGACGATCTTCCAGGTATGGTAGACATTCATCTAGCATAACTGGCAACCTTTCCTAGAAAACAAGCATCCTAAATTAATTGATCGGCCATATGCAATACTGGAATAAATATTTTTCAATAAATTGATAACTTTAAGACATTATGGCTGATGTAATCTTGAAAGCAGATTCAGTGCAACTAATAATTTGCAAACTTTCTACGTTTGCTATTCAAAATATGAAAGCTTTCATTAAGAACGACAAAACTTCCTGATGAGTTTGATATGAATTAGTATAAAAAATTTGCTAATTAAATAATAACCTGTTCATTCATAGCAGGAATGATAACAGACAGATATAAGTCTGGTTCTCTACAATAAAATCTTCCAGAAGATTCATCTAATACTAACAATGATTTAAACTGCTTTGATTCACTACAACTGTTGGATGGATTATAGAGATACTTTGGTTCCAGAAATTCTTTATGCGTTCTTTTCGGCCAAGGAGTCAGCCATGACAAAATATATAAACTAGAGATGACAAATGGAATACAGCAAAGAAAAAACCAAATCAGAATGGTAATTAATTCCATTCTTAACCTAAAAATGCAAAATTTTTTTTGTATAAAAAAAAGACAATGGGTAACTGACTTTTTTGCATTCGTCAATACAACTAATAAAAATGTTTAATTGCACAGAAATATATCTTTCATTTTAAAATTAATAAGAGAATTAATAAGTATTCTTCGCTTAACAATACTTCTGCAGTCATAAATTAAAATGACGAAAAAATATTTTGAAAAAAAAAACAAAGTAAAAAGTAGATTAAACTTCTGTAAATACAAAAATAAACAATAATAAGTAACGTAAATACAGCAAAAAGTAATGCCAACCAATTTTTAATTTTCCAATCTAAAATGCACAATACATGAATATGAAGACATTCTGCTATAGCAATTTGAATATGAACCGCTGAAAACAGAATATAGTGAAATTTACCGTACCCAGCAGAGATAGAATGGTAATAGTATAGATTTACTGAGAATTGACCGTAGCAGTGCTATAGAAAATGCTGTTGATTGATCTGAAATTATAGCTGTAGCCAATCCAAGTACTTTCTCAATATATCTGAATGCCATCTAAATTTATTTTTAAATGAATTCATTAGATCAAGCTGGAATCACGTGCAAAATTAAAAAAGTTTGATTATGACTTGAAGTCGAGTACAGAATATATTGAAGCAGTTCAAGCAAGTGCCCAAACATCTGAACATCCGTGAGTGTACACGTGTGCAAATTTGCACGTCAGCACTTTGAGCGCTGATTATTAAATGTGTGCACAAAACTAATAGAGTGTTTACCTTTGTGTTTATTGTAGGGATGTACGTGCAATTACGTGTTAGAGCGCACAGTGCATGAAATTCCGTTTTCACCTTTTTGCACGTAAGTATGCGTACAATTTATCTGCCTATGTGGTTACATTTCCGTGTACGCTCTTATCTTCGTGCTTGTCTTTTGACATTAGACCTATGCTTTCGTGCTCCGTTTATAAAATTTTTGAATATGCGCATGTACTTGTCATTTGTGAGTGTATCTGTGCATGAGTATAATATACGTGTATCTTCATGATTGTGTACGTGTACTCGCTTGTTTGTCTTTATTATTTTTTGAAGTGGAGGATTTCGGATATTTATTAAAAATCTTTATTCAGCATTTCAAAGAAATATATTATATTGCATAATAGATGCTTCTTTTTGCATTAATTTGCATAATATTTGACTACAATATTCGA